AAATAATATCAGTATACTAAATAAATTTAAGTTCTAATATAACAGCAATATATAAATTGTATAATCTTACCTTTAGTGGAAGAATCAATATTTTTAAGGCCCTTAGTACTTACTAATTCTAATCTAACTGCACTGATAAACACACCATATAGTGAATAATCATTAGTAAGATGATAAAATCTAAAATCAACCTTACAGATATAATTCATCTTACCAAACCTTAAAATTTTTGGTTTAGAATTGACGAGAATGTATGGCCTATTTTTCACAAATATTCCATTAAGGAAAACTTCAATCACAAGGTTGGAATTGTTTTTAGCGTAATACATCCTTCAGAAGTAAGGATTCAATGTTGATTACTGGCTTTATTTGGACTTCTCCTATGAGTAATGAGATAAACGTCTTTTCCGCCATAGTAATAGGTAAAAGTAGTTTGATTTATTATCATTATAGCTTTACACACGATTATCTTATTATAGAATCTTACCAATTCCACAAATTTTCGTTAATTAGTTAACCATCTTCATAATACCAACATTAATGGTCATACTGATCGATATCACCTTTTAGTTGAGTAACAATATCTTTCATTCTTACCTAAGAAATGAATAAACTGTGTTTAATATCGATTACCAAGTTTTGAGCGTACACTGAAAGTCTAATACATATAAAAGTGAATTCGCAGCTTTAAGTAAAATTTTCAATGCAACTATTATCGTTTTTATTTCGCTTGTATGATTATAAATGTCTGACACCGGGCTTTAAAGCATTATATAAGTTCTAGTTAGAAGTTATCAACTTAGTCTTCACGTTCTCTCTAACAACTCAAATGAATAAGCATAATCTTACCAGACTATAATTCCTGGATTGACAAATGAATAGGTTGAATACTAAATAAAAAGCACTTGCGAATTACTGTTACTTAGTTTGTTTTTATACGAGTATATGTTCTAGGTGGTGTATATTAATCAGTGAACAGCTAATTAAATAATAAGGTAGAAGTTCAAATAAAAAAAAGCAAAGATCTTATAGTTCCACAGGTTCTTTCACAATCATCTTTATTGATTCTAATTTCAAAAAAACGTATCTAACATATTCTAAGTTTTTTGTTTTGACTAGATGAAGGTTGAATATTGTTATAACTATAATAAAGAGTATGATTTTCATATTCTAAAATTTCAACCACTGCTGCTTTGCAATGTGAAGAATTTTCACCATTTTTTAGAGTTTTGCGAAAATATAAAGAAGATTGATCATGATTTTTATGTTCTACAACAGCGTATGAGAATGCTTTAATTCACCATCTCTGATGCTTTTGCATTAATTCCCATTCATGATATACAAAAATATGCATGTATATGTTATATTACTTGGGAGATATAAACCATTGGTAGCATTATTTGGATCAGTTGAGGTACCTTGAGAAGGCGTTAAAAATAAGTTTAGCCAAGAAAGTGCGTCTTTTTTAAATTGAAGAGAATCTGTTTCTTGATTATGAAATGCTTGATATAAAATAACAAATTAATCCCACAATTGACGAATAAGCTTTGCACAGCTAGGACGAAATAGAACACCAAGATTAAATAATTGTAAAACTTTTAACTTGTCTTGTCTCATAAGAGGAATAAAGTCCCAATTATTTGACCCATAAGTTTCCCAAAATTGAAATAATATATTAATTCTTTTCATTTCATCAACAATAATTTTTTGAGTTATGTTATTAAACAATCCATGTGATTTAATTTCTGCAATTATTAAAGTCCAAAGCTAATCATATATTCGAAGCAAAATATGAAGTTCATCACAAACCCAGTTTTCAAGTGGGATCATATTGAATAAAGGAGCATTAATATGACCATTTGTATTTTTCCAATTTAATCTAAGTTGTTCCATTATTTTAGTAATTCTCCAATCTGCTTGTGTATCTTCATATTGATTTTTGTTAACATTACACCAAGGACAAAAATACGTAGAATTAGCAGCATTTAAACTGAGGCATATTGCAAAAAACTTTAAATCTGCACTAAAATAAAACTCAAAATTCCAGCATATTGTTTCTATTTGTAATCCATTTTCTTTTAAAAACCATAAATCCTCTAACAAAGTGCTTAACATAAACTTTAATGTTTTATATTTTTCGACTCCAGGATATAATGCTAATGTATAGTAAAAATCTGATTTATGGTGATGATTAATATCATTTAAAATTATTATTGTAACCATTATGTGCTTATTTTTGCGGCCAACATTTCGGCCATCTCCCGAAATTCTTAAATGAATAACTGGATCAGTATATTTTAAAATTTTGTTTTGTTCTAAATATAATATAATATAATTAAGAAGATCTTTAAGGGTAGAGTATAGGTCGATCATTTATCATATGATCTCTGTGGCACAACGGGATTTTATGCATAAAGTAAAATACGTCACTAGTAAAAATTCTCAAAGCCACAGCTAAATTTTACCAAAAT